GATTAGTTGAAGGCAGTGCAGTTTCAAGTTGAGGCCAAACCCGACATGAAAACCCATTTTGACACCCCTAGTCACCTTTGAATCACCAACTGACTGCCATCATCGGTCATCCATAGGCTCACTGCCACTACCAAACCACAATTGTTATCATAAAACCTTCATCATCTGACTTTTGCCGCCCAACAACCATCATTCGAACTTCGTCAGATGCCTGACCACCATCGTCGAACTTTCATTGACCAATCATTCTCATTGAATCATCATCGCTCGATCTCCACATTTGTACCTTTGTTGCCCGACCGTCATGTTTAGAAAAAAATAGGAGGATACATTCAAATGTGACATCGATTGAGCAAATTTTTAATGCAATCTTGATTAATCAATAATATTAATATAGGTCAACCAAAATTTTCTGCATTTTGTTTTAATCAATAATGTCACAAGATCTATTCTTATATATTAATGATAACCCTATGCCTCGAGATTAATGCTGAAAATTACAACAACATCAAGTCTTTAATTAATTCTGATAATTAAATAGAATATTTTGATATAAATATATCAGGATGGATTTTAATATCTTGAATGTATACTAAGATTAGTGCGATTCATAATATTGTATACAATATTATACAGAATAGCACAGTAAGATTGTAGAATATGAAGAGCCAGAGAGAGATGTAGAACTAAATTAAGTGCACCTTGGATATAACAGAACAATCATTTGAGTCATGAAAATGGAGAAATGGATACTGAGTGATAATATCTAAAAGAGTGATAATAAGGTTTATAAAAACTTCATCAAAGTTGGGAAAAGCTATAGATTTAGATTTTGTTTGCAAGAACTTTTTTACTGTTTCTTAAAATAACTTTTGAACAAAATTTATAAATTTGTACGAGAAAGCTTCTTTAAGAAGCAATAATAAAGCCGTTGAAAAGGCATAAAACTCATCCTATATAACTTTTCTTTAGTTGGCTGAATCGAGAGAGGATATAGAGCTAAAGATGAATGTACTATTACATGATGTTGATGCAAAGATGGAGTCATTTTGATCAATTGAGGATGTGAAGAAGTGACTACGAAGACATCAATGGAAGGAGAAATTATTTTGTGTGGAGCATGTATGGAAAGAATCGTCTGGAATGTGAGCATACACACTGTGTACATTGATTTGATACACATTGTATACAAATGTGTACGCAGTGTATACGCTCATATGTTCGAACGATGTACACAGTGTGAATAATTGTATATTGGAGGATTGGTGCAAAGAAATTAGAAAATTTGATGGAATGGCAAACCAGTGTTAGGGGATTGACATGAGCAGGTTTACATGATTGTAAAGTTTGTGAATAATTGAATGGGAATATTATCACTGAACATGTATATCTTAACATAGTTGAATTTTTCTTAGTAGAAAATACTTATTATGATGACATATTTGATTAATACAAAAGCATATTGTACAAAATATTTGTATTATACCATTGAAGTTTATAGACACAATTTTTGTAGTTATGATTGAACATGAAAACCACTTCTTTAAATTTTAATTATTATAATTTTATTTAGGATTATTTTTATCATTGTTTTTTCACTGCTTTCAAAAAATTTGTGTACTAAAAAACTACTTTAGAAAATATTAAAAAATTTATCACAAATGAAACCTATAAAATGGAAATTTTTAGAGTAGCTTTTCAAACTTTGAGTATTTTTTTTAGACTGATGAGTACTAAATGATAAATTGTTTGATTCGAATATCTGACTTTAAGGGAATGTTATTTTTTCAATAATTATTATAATTAGATTGATATTTTTTAACTATATAAAATTTTAATATATTATATTAAAATTTCTGCACACTTAATTAAGTCTCTTTTTTTTTTATAGTTTTTTGCCACAGTTTTTTCGTTGCTTTCTAGAATTTTTTGCACTAAAAAATTGCTTTAGAAAGCAATAAGAAAATTATATATCTCTAATGAAGCCTGAGATTTTTTTTGGGTCGGCTTTTTTCCTGCTTCTCAAAGCAACTTTCTAGTACAAAAAATTTAATTTTTTTACTAAAAGCTGCTTCAAGAAGCGATAAAAAAGCCGTCTCAAATGAAGCTCAAGTCTCATTACGTATTACCCCCTATATATTCCAGCAGCATAAACAGAGTAATTAGCTTACAAATAACAATGATGAGTCCCATATAAGTGACTACTAAAATAGCTTTGGACATTCATTCCTTGCTAGTGATTACCACTTCACCAAACAAATCCTCATGAAAAACACAATCAATTACTACTATATAGCACATAAACTAGCCAAAAATAAAATAAAAAAACACCATTAATTGATCAAATGAAGGTCCCCCATCCAGTGGTCATGCATTTAAAGCTTATCTTTGCCAAATTTATCTTGCAAAGTACTCTCATGCCTTAAGGTTGGACAACCATCCTCTCGCATTAGAAAGTTTATTTGCATTATATGCAAGGGAAAATTGGACACAAGGCCAGATTGCATGTGAAAGATCTCAGTTAAAGTCTCCTTTTATAATGAGGAAAGTAGGGATCCAACTCTACCAAAACTTGACAAGTACTTTTGCCTTCAGTTTTCATTCAATTGATGCATATATGATTGATTGCTTTATGACTTATAACGCTTTTTTTCCTAAGAATATATATATATGCCTAAAGGAAGAAATCTAGCTAGGTACTGTTGCATTCAGCTCCTAATTGCCTGCCCCACATTTCATGAGATTTCTTTCAGGCCAGCTTGGCATGCCAATGCATTGTGGTTTGGACCAATCTAAAGATTAGCTTCTTGTAGAATTAGCTAGAGCTCGATTTTGGAGAAATTATTTTGTGCGGAGTCCGGACGGGAAGGACCGTCCGGACTATGAGTGTACACAATATGTGTTAACAGTGTGTTTACAGTACTCACATGTCCGGACGGTTCTTCTCATTTAAACTAAGCACATAATACTTTCTCTTGATTTTGTGGAATAGTTTTAATAGAAAATGTATTATCACACTCTTAAAAGTTTTTTAGATCATTGAAATGAGCACAAATCATTCCAAATTAATTAAAGATATTTGTCTACTTCAAGGATAATAATAATAATAATAAATTATCTTAAAAACTTTATGGATAATAAGAAGCTACAAAAAAAAAAGCTGAAATAATTGGAAATTGAAGCTGGTCAAAAGTTTTTCAAAATATTTCTACAATTTTCAATTTATGTCAAACATTCAGAAAGACAAATATATATATATAATGAGTTGATAATACTTATTTTAAAATAAATTTAATGATTTTAGATTTCATTCTAAAAAAAATAATTAGAACTTTCTGACTCAAAAAATTTTCAGAATCAAAATTGAGTAATTATTTCATTATAAAAAAAATTATAAGGGGAATTTTCAGGTTGTTAAATATATGCAAAATATAAATTTGATTAAATATTTATATATTATTGTTGCGGGGTAAGAAATTCATGGCGGTAGTGAGGAGCTATGCGTCCTAGTTTTGCACAAAAATTTAGCACACAAATCAATAAAAAAACTAGAAATTTTGTATGTGGAAGACCCAAAAAAAAAATCATAATCTTGCACAATTGAAAAGATTCTCACTATCTATATGTGATTTAAAAATGTTGGCCCATCATCCTCTATTATTCCAATGGAGCCGCTTGAGATTCAGCGGCGGTTGGTAAATGAAGGTTTAGCGGGATGATTGGACGGCAGAGGTTTTTGCAACAATGGTCAATCAATGAGGCTATTAATGGTACATGTCATGATTATTGAAATCTCAAAGCTTTCTCTAATTTCTAGCCAAAAGATTCCCTTAAAGTAGGAAGAGAATGTCTATTTATAAATTTTTAGGAGTAGCATGACCCGTAAATCTAAAGAAAATTCGAAGCACTCAATCAAATGATCCATATCAAATTCCTTGTTTATAGATCATTTTTTTAGCATTTGAGTGCTTAAATTATATAAGAACAAGGTCATCATGAGTTCGTTGGATTCGACTCATAGTGTCACTCAATTTGACTATAAACATGTCATATTAGGAGTTCATTTTGTCATCTAATTAATATTTTGGAGTTTTCAACTATACTAATATTTTTTATTTGAGCTCATTTGAGCTGGGATTGGATGGTTTTAGCTGTCATTAGGTTTATACATAAATTTGCTAAAATGGGAGTCCAAAAAATCTTGAATTTAATATTGAAAATTTTATATTCAAATATGCTTCAAAATTTATGCCTGATTTAGGATATATTTTTATGGCTTACCAATTATATTTATTAAAATAAATTTAATTATTTTAAGATCAATCCTTCCTAATTATTTGTGATTTTTTTTTTAAATATTAAAAAATAATTATTAATTAAATAAATTAAACTAGTAATTTTGGGCATACCACTACATCCTTAGGAGTTAGGACCAGGATTCCATACAGTTGTGACAATATAAAATACAAAATTTTTCTAATTTTCAAATCAAACAACAAACATTTTCCCATACCTTCAAAAACTGCTACGCGTCAAACCTTAATTTTACCTCTGTAGCCGTCTATGTAGCCGTTGCGTCCGCTTCCCACCCTACAAAACTAACAAATCCCATAGCAAATCCTAAGCGTCATCACAGGTCCCTTGACTCGCGGTGAAACGTATATTCTGATAGAAAGTATGACATTTCACTGTCCATCAAACTCCCCATCTTGCCACGTAGACTATGCTATCACCCCCTATCGTGTTCAGAGGACACAATAACTGCATAATAAATTGCCTTCCTGAAGGCAGAAGGCAAGGGCGAGTCGGAACTCCGAAGGAATTCTGCACTGCTGCCTGTTGGCCCGTCGGGTCAACATCCCATCGACCGACCCGACCAACCCGAACCCGATAGGCCGAAACGTAAAAGGCTAAAAGCTCTCCTTCCGCCATTTGAGACAAGAAACAAGCCGGCGATGTTATGATCCAAGAAATCGCATAATCGCGACTACCCCTTCGCAATGTCACGCAGGCCGCCGGCAAAAGGCGGAGCGCTGGCGACGAAGCGGTCTTTGATCTTGAAGGAGCCTCCGAAGCCAAGCAAGCGTCTGGCAGAGGTCGCCGGCGGGAAGGCGGCGGAATGTGCGGCTGTGGTGTGTTGTTGTCCATGTAGCCTTGTCAATCTCCTCATACTCACCGTTGTAAAGCTTCCGGCGGGGCTGTTTCGCCGGGCAATGAGGAGGAGGAAGATGAAGAGGAAGAGGAAGAAGAAGGCCGGCCTGCTTGGCGTGAACAATAAACCCAAAGCTTCCGTCCAGGAAGATAAACCCGCCTCCTCCCCGGCTCCCACGGAACCACCCATGCCTTGGCCGGCGAAGTCGCCGTCGGCGGAAGTATCGGAGATGGAGAAGAAAATGTGGCCGGAGTTCTTCGGCACGGGATTCTGGCGCAGCCCCTCGCAAAGAGAGTTATCCGTAATAAATAATCAATAATATTTTTTTGCTCTGTAATTTTCCTTCTTATTCATGAAGTGATCATATTCTCGTGCAAGATTCCATCTTTATTGTAATGCGAACTGAAATATGAGGATTTGAAGAAGAAGAAGAAGAAGAGGGTTGTAGATGGATCAACATATTCTTGACTGAGGTGTTAATAATGATTTGGGATGATTAATCCTCTATAATATGATTAAACTTCGTATTTAACAATGTGTTTAGCGATTGCTGTCCTTTTTGTGGTTTTTCTGATGTGCTCATTGTCCTTATTTAATGGGTTGTGGGGTCGATCATCTTCTATTTCCTGCCTTGTCACTCAGATTCAGGTCTCCAGATTCAGAGCAGCTCTGTCGGTGGTATCAGGCTTAGATATTTAAGATCTACTGTTAAATCTTTAATACATTGAACAGTTTGTTCATTATAGATTTGTTTTTTTTTTTTTTTCCTATTTACGAATGAGTTAATTTTACATTAACACAGATTCAGATCTATTTGTTTAGTTAATATAATTATTATTTCCTTATGAACACTATGATTCTTCCAGTTTTACAATCATCAGCCCAAGCAGCGACCTTTCTGAAGATAATTTCAGGTACAAATCACAGAACTCATTCAATAGGCGATGCATTCTACTTGGAAATTGTTGATTCATAAAATTTTTTTAATTGTTGGGGTGTAAGATAATGAAAAGCTTTTAATTTTGAGACTTTGGGATTTTTTTTTTCTTTTGTGGGATGAACTAGAATGATTTTTGATAGAAAATTTCGAAAAATTATTTTGTCGATGACGAACGCCGTCCAAAGATCAATCAGAATGCGCCTCGTCACTCCTGCTCGGTATTGTTCGGTACCGCGGCTCGATACTGCTCAGTACCAAGTTGGTACCGCTGACGTGGATGCACCTGATTCACCTTCTGACATAGAACCGCATCTGACGTCCTCGCAAAATAATATCTCAAAAATTTTAGAGCCCTTCCCAAAAACTGAAAAACCCTTGAACTTATCTATCATTAAAGTGTTAATAATAAGGTTTTTGAGTAAATTACAAAAATGTTTATTTAGGTTGCTAGTGAATTTTTAACGGATTTATATCCATACTATAAAATTTTTATATATTTTTATATGGGATACTTAAATCTTCAAATTTACTTATTTAATACATTACCATCTAAATCACATAAAAAAGTATAGTTTAATTTATATAAGTTAGTACTAATGATATTTTTATGTGATTTGAATATTACGTGTTATATAAATAAATATAAAGATTTAAATTATAGATATGAAAATATATAAAAAATTTATGATATGTATGTAAATCTTTTTTTTCTTATAATGAATGATAAGTCATAAAATATGTATTTCAAATTCATAATTTTAATTATTTTCTAATGTTGCTCATTAGTGCCTTTTAAATGCACTAATTGACCTAGAAATTAAATTATATATCTTTATGGATAACCTTTTCCATTAGTAAAGTTAATTTTTATTAAATTCAATAAAAAGAATAATTTATTTTAATTACAAATTCTCCTTTTTTTTTTCATGACAAAGTATATCACTTAAAAAAAACTAAGATTTAAGAAAAGAGCATAGAAATTTCTAGTGATTTTTAAGCAATATTCATCAGATATTTTTCTTAAGCAATTTTTAATACTATATATTCAGCTCTTTCAATATTTTGCTTATTTTTCAGTAGTTAAAAAAAATGAAAAAGATCCTCTATTCAACATAGCACATGTTATTAATGATACAATGGATAATATCAAATCATATAATAATTATTCTGTTTGTGAAAAGCCATTTCTCATTACAGAAATTTTCAAAAAATAATAAAACAATATAGCCAAATAAAATTATAGCTATAGTATGAAAAATAAACTTATGAGAAAATTATATCGCACAGAGAGAGAAGTATTAGACTTTCAAATCTAAATGTTACAGTAAATAAACCATCAAATTAGTCAACACAGACAAAGAGCATCAGAAAACTTAGAGAGAAAGCAGCAGTTAGGATTTCAAGCAAACTTATAAAAATCTTTTAATATAATAATAAAAGGATAATCATACTAAGGGCTAGGGGTGTCAATTTCGGGTCACGGGTCGGGTTCGGGTCGAATCCGGAACTGACCTGGGTTCAAACGGGTTGACCCTAACCGACCCGAGTAGACAAACGGGTCGGAAATCCGAACCCGGACCCGACCCGGGATTCAAAATTTTTTGAATTAAACGGGTTCGTGGGTTGACCCGGCAACCAGTCGAGTCAATCCGAATCCGACCCATTTTTCAAACGGGTCAATTTCTAGAACTCGAACCCGACCCGTTTTGAAATCGGGTCGGGTCCAACCCGAATTTTCCGGGTTGGGTTTTCGTGTGGTGTCAAATATTGACACCCGTACTAAGGGCATCTCCAACCAAAATCCCTATTTTTCACTCTAAAATATCGTAAAACTTCAAAATATGGTAGTCATCTCCAATGGAACTCCAATTTTTCTTTTTTCGAGTGTTTCTTTGCAAAGGTAACTATCTCTCTCCTGTTTCGCATGCTTCATGCGAAGCTAAGTAGAGTGCAAAGGTAATCGCTTTTTTTTGGCGTAGGTGAACAGTCTGATGTCAATATTGATGTCAAACTATTCACCTACCAATTTTTGGCGACAGATTTGGAGTTCAAATGCAGCGGTTCGCAGACGACATACAATAACATGCAGTTTGGTTGGAGATGATCTAATTATTACGTGAGAATTTAATAAAATTCTCACAGTTAATCTTTCATTTAGGTGAATAATTAGGAGTTCAAGCATAACAAGGTACGTTCCTTAATACGTTATCTATTATCTCTGATATATTTCTCTTGAATAATCCTGTTAATTAGGTTTGGGGCAATTTTCTTATTGTTTTTTTAAGTAGTTTTTTAATATAAAAATATCTTGAATTAACAATTTTTATATTAAAAATTTGCTTTGAAAGTAGTAAGAAAGTTGTCCCAAAGGAAATCTTGAGATGGCTTTCTTATTGCTTCTTAAAGCATATTTTTAGTTCCAAAAATTTAATTTTTGTATTAAAATGCTTTTTAAAGTAGTAAGAAAGCCATTTCAAATGAAGCCTAAGGCTTTGCTTGGGATGACTTTATTACTAATTCTTTAAACAACTTTTTAGTGCAAAAATTAAAATTTTGATATTAGAAAATTACTTTAAGAAATAATAAAAAAGCCGTCCCAAATAAAGCCTAAATGTACTTCCATGACTTAAAATATTTTCAAAACCATTTCACAAAAGAGAAATAAAAAAATAAAAAATAAAATTATACAAATCATCAAACGCTTAAGGCCGGCATACAAATTTCTCAAGAGGAAGTTCGTTAGGATTCAGACATTTGGTGAGGCATTATTAGAAATAAGAATATATTCGAGCTCCAATATTTTATAAAAAATAATTATTTTATTTTTTCAGCCAAATTTGACTTAGCCATAAATCCTTTTAAATTAGATGATTTGTTTTACAAAATAATGACTTTGCATTTATTTTCTCCAAATGGATCATTGATACATAACAATAGGGTTCATATATTCAAATACATATTTTGACATAATTTTTATATGTCAAAATATTCCAATGAATTTGGATACTTTTTTTTAGAAATTGATTATAATATTATTCAATTTTTATTTTTAGCAAATTCATAGCAAGCAAATGTTGTTTGATGAGACTAACCAAACAACACCTATTTGAATCAAAATACAATTAGAAGCATAACTAAAAGTATTTTCATATTATTTGAGGGATCAAATATCCTCCAAATTATATACGTTCATAGCCAAAAACGAGTATATATTGATAAGAAGAAATCAACAAGTTCAAAATCATTCATTTCTGATCACGTAGAAAAGAATCAAAACATCACAAAGGATTCGTTTGGAACGGTTTTTTTATTGCTTCTTAAAACGTAATTTTAGTACAAAAATTGAAACTCTATTTTAAGAAGCAATAAAAAAGCCGTCCCAAGAAACAGCTAGCTTTTGCCACTATTTTTCATCGATTTCTAGGAATTTTTGAGCTAAAAAGCTGATCTAAAAAGTAGTAAGAAAATATATGGAATTAAGTCTGAATGATTAGTCGCTAAATTAGTCTTTACATAGCAATTTTGAAACTTTTCTATGATACTAAAAAAAAAGAATGATGGAAGGAGATGCTTGGAAATGGATATGGGTCTATTAATAGTTGGAGATATGTAAATTCTTAGGGTTGTTGTGGGCTACTTGAAGTAAAGATGATCATGATCTAAGGAGGGGTGCTATTATTTTTTGAGATTTTGAGTAATAGGGGGAGATGTTCATGCTTATGAAAATTTGAGGAAATGAGTTAGAGGTCAAAGTGTTGAGGGATGATGGAATAGATGGTAAAGTGTAGTAATGATAAGCCTTAGGCTACCATGACTAAGAAAATAATGAATTATTCATGAATGGCCAGTGGTATAAGAATTTTAATGCATTTTTTTAGCATAAAAATTTCTAGTATAAAATTTTTTTTCACAAAAAAGCTGCTTAGAAAATAGTAAAAAAATGTATTTAAGACAATTTCTTACTACTTAAAGTAGCTTTCTATTAAAAATTTTAAAATTTTATTCTAGAAAATAGCTTTAATAAGAAACAAGAAAGCCATCCCAAACGAAACCTAAGGCTTCGTTTGGGACGGATTTTTTGTTGCTTCTTAAAACATTTTTTTAGTTAAAAAAAATAAAAATTTTATAATAAAAATATTCTTTAAGAAGCAACAAGAAGGTTGACCCTTAAGCTTAATTTGGAATGGCTTTTTTATTGCTTTTTAAAATAGCTTTTTAGTACAAATATTTAATTTTTATACTAATTAAAAAATTATTTTAAGAAACAGTGAGAAAGCAGCCCAAAAGAAGCTTAAATCTAAATTATAAAAGTAAGTCTAACTCATAAAAGTCACTGATCATAAAAAAAAATCACCCATTAACAAGTGGAATTAGCATCC